CATGAGCCCCTATGTGCAGACAGTATTTTTTTCCCTTGATGGAAATAGAAGCCAGGGCCTTGTGCATGGTAGACAAGGACTTCACATCCTCAGGCCTAGCTATGCAGGGTGTTTGTTTTATTGTTGTTGTTCAGTACTGCAGATTAAACTCAGGACCTTTACACTGAGCTATATCCCCAGCCCTTTGATTGATGGATTGATTGATTGTTTTTTTGTTTTGTTTTGTTTTGTTTTGTCTTCTGGTACTGGGAATTGAACTCACCACCTTGTGCTTGCCAGGCAGACACTGTGCCGCTGAGCTAAATCCCCAGCCCTGATTGATTGTTTTTTTGAGACAGGGTCTCAAGATACAGTTCAGGCTGGTCTTGAACTCATGGTAATCCTCTTGCCTCAGCCTCCCAAGTGCTAGGATTAGAGGCATACGCCACCACGGCTGGTTTATTTTTTGAGACAGTGTCTTGCTAAGTCACTAAATTGCCTAAACTAGGTTCAAACTTTCAATCCTCCTGCCTCAGCCTCCTAAATGCTGTGTTTGCAGGTGTGTGACACTATGCCCCACTTCTTTTGCCTTTTGCAGTGCTGGGGATGGAACCCAGGGCCTTATGCAGAAGCTTAACCAGTCAGCCCTGCCTCGGGGCTGAGTAACTAGACAGCACAGTGTACCTGTAGATTATGGATTTACAAAACACACGCATGTTCTGAAACAGAATGGTGTCATCGTGCCCACATCCAAGGAAAGGGGGATGGAAAGACTGACCCCATAATCCGCCAGCTGTCTGTAGCCACCAGTCACTTGGAGGTTTTAGTTTTGAGGTTTTGGGGGGTGGTTTGGCTTTTGTTTTTGGTGTTTTTTTTGTTTTGTTTTGTTTTGTTTTGTTTTGTTTTGTTTTGTTTTTTGTCTTTTTGAGACAAGGTCTCGCCAGGCAGTTCACACAAGCCTTGAGCTCACTTTGTAGCCCAGGCTGGTCTCGAACTCAGAATGATCCTCCTGCCTCAGCCTCCCGGGTGCTGGGATTACAGGCGCGCACCACCACACATAGCAGGCTTTTGTTTTATACTGGGCACTGGGGATTGAGCCCAGGGCCCTTGCTTTAAACAACATCCCCACCCCATTTTTATGTTTTTCCCCCCCTTTTCTATGTTTTGAGACAGTCTTGCTAAATCTCCAATTGCTCAGGCTAGGTTTGAATTCGCGATCCTGCCTCAGCCTCCCAGAGTTCCAGGACGACAGGTGTACACCACCACACTGGGCACGGGACTCTGGGCTTCTGTCCCCGCGGCAGCTGGGTGAACTTGAGGGTGATCTTTCTCACCTCCAATGGTCTCCTCTACAAAGTCCGGCCTGGAGGTGGCGCTCAAGGTAGAGCTCGGGCTTCCGTTCTCCCCGAGTTGCGTCTGGGCACCAGAGGGGAAAAGCCAGGACCTTCAAGGCTGCCTGCGAGCAGTCCTCGGGGACTGCTCCGCATGGGTGTCATCCAGCAAGTCAGCCGCGGGCCATGTGTGCTAGTGGGTGCTGGCACTGTACTACTGCAGTGCTATTCAGGGGCTGGCATTTTAATTTTCCTTTCCTTGAAGTAACCGCTTGTGGCCAGCGGCTACCGTACCAGGCCGTGCAGTTCTGGATCTTAAAGCCAGGGAGCGCGTGGAAAGTGGTTGGGCATGCAGAGCTCCATCCTTGACAGTGGCCATGGAGGTTCCCAGTACACTGGGAGTAGTGGTGTCTTTCTGTAATCCCGGTACTCTGGAAGGCTGAGGCAGGAGAAATCCCAAGTATGAGCCCCGCTTGGGCTTTTTTTTTTTTTTTGCCTTTTTGAGACAGGGTTTCGCTACGCAGTTCAGGCTGGCGGTGAACTCACTTTATAGCCCAAGCGGTCCTCAAACTCACCGCAATCCTCCTGTCTCAGCCTCCCAAGTGCTGGGATTTTAGCAATTTAGCAAGATTCTGTCTCAAAAATAAAAGAGGGCTGACCCTGAGTTCAGTTCCCAGAACAAGGGGGAGAAAAAGTTTCCAGCAGATACAACAGTCCCTTCCCCTGAGGAATGGGAAGCGGCCTGGGCCCAGGGGAAGAAATAAAACCGGGAAAGTAGGTGGAAGGTCCCGGATGTTTGAACTTTATGCAAGAAGCCATGCGGAGACCCAGACATTGTCCCCAGAGAGTTGCAAAGGAGGCAGAGCGGCGGAAAGGGCATCGGGTCGGGGATCAGGAGGTGACTGCCAACCCCAGGCTGCCGGAGGCCGTGCGGCGGCCCTGGGCAGGCCCTGCTCCTCCTGGCCTCAGTTTCCCCGAATGTAAAAGGGCAGCTGTCATATTCCAAACACCTCTCCTTCCGGCTCACAGTGGCAGGCTGAGAATTTGGGTCACAGGGTGCAGCTGGCATGTGACCGCTAGATGGCCCTAAATTTCCTGGGTGGGGAATTCATCTGTCCCCAGGCAAAGGTGACCGAGGGCGCTGCCCAAGATCCTGTAACCTGAACAGCCGAGGGGAGCCGAGCAAGGGAGCCAGTTCACTCTCTGAAGTTGATATAGGCCACACTTATTTTATTTTATTTTTTTAAAAAACAGGGTTTCACTGGACATGGTGAATGTGCTTGTCATCCTAGCTATGTCATTCAGGCATAGGAGGATTGCCTGAACAACATAACTAGGCTCTGTCTCAAAGCATATAAATAAAAATAAACAAATAAAATAAAGCAGGGTCTCACTGTATAGCCCAGGCTGGCCCCGAACTCCTGATGATTCTCCTGCCTCAGCCTCCCCGAGCGCTGGGATAACAGGTGTGCGCCTCCATGCCCAATCCCCTCTCCTTTATTTTTTAGTTTTTATTTTTTTTATTTTTTGGTATGGGGAATCAAACTCAGGACCTTGCGCATGCCAGACAGGCGCTTGTGCCACTGAGCTATATCCCCAGCCCCTCCTCTCCTTGAGATGGTATTATCACTGGCTCCATTTTGCAAATGAGGAAACGGGGCCAGTGTGGGAAATGAGGTGGTGATCTTGCTTTGCCGGTAATAACTGCGGGAGGAAAGAAGTAAGGGTTGAGGTGTAACTCAATGCAAGGGAGCTGCAGAGGCCTTGGGTTCTGTCCCCAGCATCTCAAAAAGCAAAAAGAAAAGATGGGCTGGGCAGCACTTGTAACCCAGGCTACCCCAAAAGCTAAGCCCAGGATGCCAACAATAGCCAGAGCAAAATAACTACTTCAAAAACAACAAAAAATATTTTATTTCTCCATGAAGATATTAAGTGTTTTAGCCAGCTGTGGAGGTGCATACCTATAATCCCAACACTCTGAGAGGCTGAGGCAGGAAGATGACAGTTCAAGCCCAGCCTGGGCCACTTGTTGTTTTTCTGAGACAGGTATAGACCAGGCTGGCCTCAAACTCAAGGCCATCCTCTTGCCTCGTGTTATGGTTTATGTCTGGGTGTCCCCCCAAAGCCTCATGCGGCCATGGGGCAGGCTTTTAAAGTTTGATTGATTAGGGGTGTGAGAGCCACACCCACCCTGGGGTGGATAGTTTGCATATGTAAGGGAGAGGAAAAGAGTGCTTGAGGCCAGTCCTCCTCCGCCATTCCGCCCCGTGTGTGGTTGCTGCTTTTGCTGTGTTCTGCACCAGGAGCTGTAGCCCTCTGCCATGTGCCAGTCTGCCTTGTAATCTGCCAAGTATGGACTGAAACCTCCACAAACTGTAAGCGAAATAAACCTTTCCTTCCTTCATTTTGGGCGTCAGGTATTTTGTCCCAGCAATGAGAAAAAAGTAACCAAGACACTCGGCCTCCCGAGTGCTGGGATTACAGCTGTGTGCTCCCACTCACCCTAGCCTGGGCAGTTTAGTGACTTAGATCCTGTCTCAAAATATAAAAATAAAATAATAAGTAAATAAATAAAATGGAGCCAGGCATGGTGGCTTGCGCCTGTAATCCCAGCATTCTGGAGGCTGAGACAGGAGGGTTGCTTGTGAGTTCAAGACCCGCCTGGGCTACAAAGTGAGCTCAAGGCCAGCCTGAACTGCATAGCAAGACACTGTCTCAAACAGACAAAGAAAAACAACAAAAAAACCCTCTTTTTGATATTTTCTTTCTTTCTTTCTTTCTTTAGTCTTCCTGAGACAGGGTTT